AACATGTATTTATTGTTACTCTTTAAATATTTTGGATAATATTGAGATGTTAGAAACAACGTTTATAAATTAATATTTATAGACTATACTATTAAATTTATAATATAAACAGAGTAAACAGGTTTAGTCCAAATAATGATTACTAATAGTTTAGTATATTTTAGATTTTCAGTTTTTAATAAAGATAATGATACATTTAAGAACAAAGATAAGAAAAAAGATAAATTTCAAAAATTACAAAAATATTGATAACAAAGTTAAAACATTGGGATTGAATGATTTTTAAAATTACTATTTTCTTAACGTGTTGTTTATTATTTTAAATTGATATTAAAAGTATTATATAGAATAAAGGACTGAAAAGATATATTAATCAATAAGTATTCCAACCCCTAAGAGGATTTAGAGATCTTAATTGTATCCATCCTAACAATAATCTTAAATAAGTTCTATCTGAATTCATCCAAAGAGCTACTTTCAATAATAATTTTGCATATAAGGAACAGTTATTAATCAATAAGATAAGAACAATGTAATCATAACTCAAATAGATTATTTTAGAAATTAATTAATATCTACATAACGATAATATCAGTCAACTAGTTCAACTTTATTAATTCAGTTAGTTCAATTTGTTACTCTCCTGATGGTACTACATTAGCATCTGGTGGTGGAAGTATATTGGGTGGTATAGATTGTTCTATTCATTTATGGGATGCTAAGACAGGATAATAAAAAGCCAAATTAGATGGTCATTCAGATAGGGTTATGTCAATTTGTTACTCTCCTGATGGTACTACATTAGCATCTGGTAGTAAAGATAAGTCTATCAGATTATGGGATATTAAAACAGGATAATATAAAGCTAAATTGGATGGCCATTCAACAACAGTATATTCTGTCAATTTCTCTCCTGATGGAAATACATTAGCTTCTGGTAGTTAAGATAACTCTATCCGACTTTGGAATGTAAAAACATCAAAGGAAATACTCCAATCAGATGGTAGCTATAAAGATTTGCTTGCCCAGTTTAACATACCTCTTTAGAATAGCTCCTTATTGCCAAATGGTATTTATTATTAATTATTATTTAGTTAATCCTGATCGTACAATACTTAGAATATGCTAGAATCCTTGGTTAGAAGCATCAGGAACACTTATCTTATAAGGACAATTCATGAATTATTAAGGGATAGATTTAAAACCTTTGTTTAAATCAATAGGAAGTTGCTTTTTAGAAGACTTAAAACAAAAGTAAAAGTGAATTTGAATATTCATTAAAACCTTACAATTATAATTTTAATCATTTTCTTATAACTTTATGAATTATATGTGTTTTTTGTTACTATTTAAGTAATAATATTGAGATGTCAGAAACAACGGTTATAAATTAATATTTATAGACAAACAATACACTATTAAATTTATAATATAAACAGAGTAAACAGGCTTAGTCCAAATAATGATTACTAATAGTTTAGTATATTTTAGATTTTCAGTTTTTAATAAAGATAATGATACATTTAAGAACAAAGATAAGAAAAAAGATAAATTTCAAAAATTACAAAAATATTGATAACAAAGTTAAAACATTGGGATTGAATGATTTTTAAAATTACTATTTTCTTAACATATTGTTTATTATTTTCAATTGATATTAATAGTATTAGATAGAATAAAGTATTGAAAAGATATATTAATCATCAATAAGTATTCTAACCCTAAAAGGATTTAGATCATTATTTATCCATTCCTAACAAACATCTAATCATCTTAAATAAGCATTATGTGAATTACATCGAAAAGCTACTTTCCACTATAATTTTGCATATATATAATGAACAGTTATTAACCACTCAGGTAGGAACTATAAAATTACAAAATTACCCAAGATTGGATTTCATAAACATAATTGAGAATATTAAAAAATAACAAAATT